CTGTTTTCTGCACTCTTCTAACCTCAGCAGATAGCTAAATCTTCTCATCCAGCATCATCATCTTAAAGTAACATATATTTCTAGTAACAATTTGATGAATATTTATAAAATTGTATCATTTATAAATCATAAAACCCTACATAAAAGCCAAGAGAGTTTTGTTTCAGAATTCCTGTAAGAACACTTGGAGATTATAAGTCATGGCAGTAGGTTAAATTTAGAAAAGGAGAAGAGGAGCCTCTCTCTGTGCCAAGATGAGAATTGCATCCTTCAGGAAATAGTGGACAAGTTATTTGAGACTGGAAGGAACAAAAATACAATGGAATTGACTCTCTGGTCTTAGTGGTTCTGTCTATTTTTTTTCTCTCTGTCCCCTACTTTAATGTTTTTCTTCTGTATTAAGCACACCATGTTGTTCTTCCATACTCTTCTACACCCCAGAGCTTGTACTGGGAGAAGTTAGTGGTTCTTGCTGTCAGGCTTCAAGGACTTCCTTGTCCTGTCCTAGTAGAAGTGGCCTAAAGTAACACAAAGTTACAGTACGTTGTCTGGCTGCAGATACCTGATGGGTAGCACGGAGATCGCGAAGCTAAAAAAACCCAAACCAATTTCAAGTAAATGTTATCTTAAACTGTTCCTTAACACAGATGGAAATGGAGAACCTCAACAACAAACTTGTGAGCTCCTGGAAGGAAGGCTGGTGTCCATACAGGAGGTGCAGCATGAGCATAGGCTTGTTCAGAGCACATGCTGTAGGAGCAGGTTTATGCTCCTGGCTGTGGTGGTGACTGTCTGCTTCCAGGAGAGGCAGTGGGTTACGAAAACTTCAGAGGAGAGTCAGGTCATCTTCCAGGTCGCGCTTGCATAGGAAGTGAGCTCCCTGGAATTCAGAGGCTAAGCTGTTGATCCCTGGTTTTAGGAATTGGATACTGAGAAGCAACTTGATTAGGTTCCTAAATTTCGTTGTATTTTGAAAACCAGACTTTGTATCTTGTCGTTCCCGTTGGTTTTTCGGAAGCGTGTGGCACTGCACGGCGCAGCCCGCGGCGGTACCGGGCGCCCTGAGCTGCCGCGCGCTGCGAGGGCCGTGTGCCGGGGATTATTCCCAAGGGTGCCTGCCCTCTGGAAACACGACTGCTTGCCACAATGATGCTCTCTCCGTATCACTGCCTGCCAACGTTTTTATCATCCAAACGTGATTTATAGACTTTGTCACATGTTCACACTCACATGGAGGGCTATATAAAATCTATAGGTGGCTGCGTGAGTGTATACATTGTTCAGGGAGTGCCGACCCCCTGATAAACCGCACCGACGCGGTGTGTTACACCCACGTGTACCACATCATAGAATCATAGAATCGCAGAACGGTTTGGGTTGGAAGGGACCTCAAAGATCATCCAGTTCCAACCCCCCTGCCATGGGCAGGGACACCTTCCACTACACCAGGTTGCCCAAAGCCTCATCCAACCTGGCCTTGAACACTGCCAGGGATGGGGCAGCCACAACTTCTCTGGGCAACCTGTTCCAGTACCTCACCACCCTCAATGTAAAGAATTTCTTTCTTATATCTAACCTAAATCTGCCCTCTTTCAGTTTAAATCTGTTGCCCCTTGTCCTATCACTACACAGCCTTGTAAAAAGTCCCTCTCCAGCTTTCCTGTAGCCCCTTTAGGTACTGGAAAGCTGCTATAAAGCTTTCCAGTACAACATCGTCCCCGTTGGTCTGTGCAAGTGACTTGGTGTTTCTTTTCATCTACTCTTATTATTTTATGTCACCTGTTAACTTCAGTAGCAATCATTTTAATTTTCTTTCACGGCGTTATTAAGGATATTGAATTACACTTGGCCAAGCACAGGTCTTTGCAGAACTCATTAGAAATATCCCTCCTGAATAATGATTCGGCAGTTTAATTCTTACTCTTATCAGTTAATTAGTTGTTAATCTTGTTATTATGTGCCACATTGCTTTTTTATTATGCTGTTTTTAACAAAGCATTGTACAGTACTCAGTGAAATGTTTTATGGAAGACTGAATATAGTATGTCTGCATAGTTACTGTTACCGACCAAATTTGTAGTCTGACATTCAGTTTGTTTGAAAATACCTGTTTTCAAAATGAAGATGGGCATAAAGGATAACGCCATCTCCTATCCATCACCTTCTCCATGATCTTGCCTATGTTAAGGCTCCAGCTGCTGCACTAGAAATGCATAGGATGTCTATTTTTCCTTTTAAAATATTGCCCGTTATTTTTATTCCCTCTTCTTCTTGCAGCTTCTCTGGTGCTCCAACATATCTTTATGTCGGATTTTTTTTTTCCCACATCTTTGCAGTGCAAGTTATCTGGTCATAATGATGTAAATATAAATTGAATACAAGCTGTTTAAAATTCTGTTAAATTATTGCATTGCTGCTGCAAAATTCTGAGTCCAGAACTTCAGAAAGAGAAGAGGGTTTCACGGGATGCAGTGTCTTCTCTAGACTGGCAGGTGCAATATCTCTTTTTCATTATGGATTTGCTCTCCATTCCATTATTTTAAAGGACATACTCCTCACTGGATACATGAAACATCCCTTCTTGTTAGCCTTTTTGGGGCTGAATCGGTATTCTTGCTGGTACCTTTTGCTGCTCTTACCAATTGTCCTTATTTCACAGCGACTAATTTGCAGGCTTTGACTTCAGGTTCACGATTTCCATTTGTTACGCATCCTTTAATATTACTTCTTGATTAAAGTGGATTTTTAACTGAGAAAAACCCTTTTTATCATTAAAAAATGATATGGCAGTCCCTGCTATACTCAGGGACTTCTGGGGTTTTTTTGTGGATTTGGCTTTTTGTACACAACAGTGTAAAAACGTGCAAAGTATTAGGAATTCCCATAGGAAGAGGGATGTTGTTCTTTGTATCTCACTATGTTTCCCCTATTACAGAATTTTTGTCATTCGTGGTAATTTGGCACTAGGGCATTTTAATGAAAACACAGAAGTGAAAGAACCAGGGAGTTGTGTATCTGGGGGAAGCGTTCTGCGACCTCCGGAGAGGTCTTTGCGTTCCAGGTGAACTTGTGACTTCGCGTGTCCCGCTGCGGCAGCGAGGGATCCCGATGAGACCCGAGTTATGCGAGGGCAGGTGGTGCTGGGAGTGAAAAGAGGACAGCAGTTCTAGGTCACCTCTTGCATTTAGCACCTAAGAGCCCACTGGCAGTAGCCTAAGGGCCGTGTCATTTGCCTCAGTTTGTAATAATTGTTTAATTCCGTTGTCATCCTATAAACACAGTGCTTTGAAACAAATTAATTTGTTTTCCCACGTTTTCCAAAAAAACATTTTTATGATACTTCCTCGTCGCTTGTGGCGAAGGTGAAACAAACAGAAGAGAATGGGGAGAAGTTGGAAGGGAGTTTTTATGGATAGGCAGGGACTTGATAGTATGTTTGCTGTGCTTTTGATCCTCCGCTTGTTTCCAGTCTCTCACACTTACTGTAATTAGGTAGTAGGAAAAGAAACCTGTATAATTACTGTTTCAAGATGATTAACTGTCTGTATGAGTGTGGCAAAGCCCTTTGCCTCAATATATACCTGTGTAGTACTGCAAAAATTATTATATTTTTAAAAATGCATAGCAGTAGAGGCTCCTAAACTTACTTGGGAAAATAGTTAATGCAGGAAACTAATTCTTAAATAGCTCTTTTGGAGACACGGTTCTCTTCTTGGAGAAACATAATTGCTGTTCAAAGCCAAATCATGTTGTAGAGGAGAGAAAAGGAGAAAAAAAAAGGCTCTGAAAGAGCTACCTTAGAATGCTGAAGTGTGTGTTTATGTGTACATATGTGTTTCTATATGTATATAAAATTACCACCTGTATGGCCTTTCCAGCGTCAGGATCTGCAGGGAAAGGAAGCCGCCCAGTGGACATAGGACCGGATTACAAACCACCACTTGGTGGTAAGTGTTGTTATAAAGCTGCTCACTTGAAACCCAGCGTCTTTTGGTGTTTCACCAATGCTATAACCTCCTGAAAACAGCAAGCTGTTTACAACCCTGATTACATCTGCTCCAGTAACTATTCTCTCTTTGCCATGATAGCTGTTCCCACTCAAGAAATCGTATCCTACTTCCGTCGTAGTCTTCCTGCCTGCTGTGTGGGGTATATGGAAAAAATATCATGGCGTGCATTTGCATTTCAGTCTTGATAAGCAGATCTTGTTCCCAGTTTAGCTTTAAATGGCTGCTATAGTGCACAAGTGTAAAATTAATTCAGTAAGAACATATTAGGAAGGAAAAAAATCATCTTAACTCCTTCTCCTTATTAGCACTGTGTATTGCAGAAGCCTTGCCCTAAGGTAACACTCATTAGTGTTGCATAAAATGTGTTTTCTTTCAGAAGAAAGTGGCCACTGTAGAATACTGATACTGACTCGTGTGATCACTGGGACCAGGGGGGTGCCAGCAGTACCATAGTTTTAGCAAGGTCCCACGTTAACTCTCCTTCGACTCTAAACTTTGCATTTTTTTATGATAACTATTTGAAATAGGGTCAACATAAATTTTTATAGACTGTTGGTTGGAAATGGATCCGTAAAGCACCTTACAGATTTAATAAGTGTACAGAAACACAATTGGCAAATGACAAAACAATAAGCAAGCACTTCACTTGAAATCCCAGCAGACAAACCATCTTCCTCACTCCGCCCATCTGTGTGAGTCAAGCAGTCTTTGATGGGCACTGCTTGCTTTTGGTGGGCATCTTTCCCAAGTAAACTGTGTAAGTGACCCTTTTCTTCCGACTCAAACTTACAGGCAGTAACAGTCCCCACGGAAGCCCTACTTCTCCCTTGGACAGCAACATGCTCCTGGTAATCATCGTGTCTGTTGGAGTCATCACCATTGTGATAGTGGTGATAGTCGCCGTCTTCTGCACTCGTCGTACAACTTCTCATCAAAAAAAGTAAGATGTCCGGGTGGCGCTTTGCCCTGTCCTACCTTTCTCCTTCAATTCCATTATTTAACCTTTTCTTTATGACGCTTTAGAGTTTAATGCTTTCAAGTCTTGCGGGCTGTAGAAGTTCCCTTGTGACATCAGATCAGTAACATGGTTTGAATTCTCGTGTTCAGAAGATAACAGGCATCAATACAGCGATGTTATCATGCGTGTGACGTTCTGGTTTTCCTGATCAGTGTTTCAGAGGTTACAAACCATCAAGAGTTTACAGGCAAACTGGGGCAATGCTTTCAGGTGTACCTGCGCTCGCCCCACTCTGAGGAGAAATCATTGTTTAAAATATCATTTCCAAACTCGATTGGATACATCTGTTTAGAGTTATGTGCGCTCAACAGCTCAGGCAGATTCTCACTTCTGTTCTTGGCATGTTCTGCACTGCGTGGAGTAGGTTTACAAGCTGTGCATGACAATACCCAGTTACTAGATAGATTACCAGAGTGGAATCTGAACCTAGTGCTGAACTCCTTAGAAGAGTGCTCCCAAATCCTAAATATAGATGTGTATCTGAAATCTTCCCTCATTAAAGCAGCTGAATTAAGACTACAGCAGTGATGCTTCCATTTGTAGGCTCCTGGAGGTTGTTTCTGCATGTTCTTTGAAAGAACTGAACAGAGCTGAAAGCTTTTTTGGGGGGTTGAAGAGACTCTGTTATGTGAAAGAGAGTTTTAAGAAAGTGATTAAAAGCCAAGCTTAGAAGATAATCTCTGCTTGCTTTGCTGAAGCTGAACTGTCCTGCAAAAACACAAGTTCTTCAGGAAAAGAGAGCACAGATCCATGAGCAATGGTCTAGCAACTGCAGGATGTGCTTGAAAGAGGGCAAAACTCATGGGTGTATGCCCAAGAGACGTGTTTTATTTTAAAAGAGCAGAAATAACCCTGTGAAACCTTGCCAGTTTCTAAATGCCACCTCTCTTAATGCAGCTACTCAGACCCAGGGAACAACCTTCTGATGTGTTTTACTCGTTGGGCTGTGGTGCTCAAACGGGGTGTCTGGCTGCGGATCGCCTACCTGAGAGGTTCCGCTCATCGACATTTTCAAAATTTGATTTAGTCATATCTTAGCCATGTCTAGCACGTGAGCTACCCAGAAGGGGCACCTTCCTCCATCATTGCCAGGGCCAAAGTGAGGAGTGCGTGTGGAACTCTACATTGCATTTATCCAAAATTCCGTCGTGTCAAACATCTGCCTCGCAAGCGCTCTCCCTGCTTTGCTGCTGCTGCTGCTCAAGAGCGATGAAAAAGCACCTTAGTTAGATGTGCCTGACCTGAGGAGTGGTAAAATGGATGTTCTTGTCGTCAATCTTTAGAGTTAACCATCCTGTTGGGATAATTGGCTATTTGCACACTCCTTCTACGGTTATTGTTTGAGGTTGTTTGTAAGCCCTGGAGTAGGGGCACAGCGTGGTGTACGGACGTTCGTGTTTAGAATATTCTCTTAATAACCATAAGTACTGGAAACTTAATTTTTGTTAACGAACGCTTAGACCGCAGAGCACCGTTCTGCAGCATGAAGCAGCATTTGAGACAAATTTCATGGCATCAGAGTTGCAGCATAGGCTTTGAGATGGCAGATGTGCTTGTATGTAAAATTCAAAGCTCCCTGCCCAGTGGGTAGCTTCTGCTCAGCTGGATACAAGATCTGAAGGAAATCTCAGTGAAAATTTGCCTTTTTCAACAAGTGAAGCCTACATCTAAGAACTTTTTGTTTGTTTTTCCTTCCCAAGGAAACGAGCTGCCTGCAAATCAGTGAATGGGTCCCATAAGTACAAAGGAAACTCCAAAGATGTCAAACCTCCTGACCTTTGGATCCATCATGAAAGACTGGAGCTAAAACCCATTGATAAATCTCCGGATCCCAACCCAATCATGACAGATACCCCAATCCCTCGCAACTCCCAGGACATCACCCCGGTTGATAATTCCATGGACAGCAATATCCATCAAAGGCGGAATTCCTACAGAGGTGAGCTGTCAACGAGCGGTTTGACTGTGATGTTTAAAATTAAATACCTTTCACTGTGTCTGGTGACATCATTTTATTGACCTATTGTTCAGTTACCCTTATCTTTTTTTCTTCTTATTTTCCAAGCAGTGTATTGGTTTTGTGCCTAGTTTGTAGGACTCTGAAAAGTCCTATAAATGTTTTGGTGAGAAAATCGAGTGCCCAAGAGCTTTTAATCATGAATTTCCCTTGGTAAATACTGATTAGTAATCACAAGGTCACCTAACAAATGTTTCATATTAAACTGTTGAGAGACGTGTGACATTTTTTCAGTAGTCAAACACACAATCAGGTTTCGGTGCTTTAACCAGCTCAGCTCTCGAGGTTTGGGTGAGTTTTCACCTAGTGGGTGAGCTTGTTAATCCAGCACGTCTCACCCATACGGGTGACTCTGCAGTGCCACTCGTTGCCCAGAGCTGCACAGCCAGAGGTTTGTGTTTGCATTACGGCCTGGAGAGTTTCTCCAGTGCCTGATAATCTTTACCCTAACTTTCCTCTTTTCCACCTTCTAGCGAAGGATGAAAGAGCTGTTTTTATCAATTATGAGTCACAGAACTGCTTCCAAACAGGACAGGCCAGAAATAAAGAGAGGAGGATTGAAATCATCTGGTATGGCATCACAGAAGTCTTGCTGCAATGGTAAATAACCTTCAGTATTTCTCCTTCAGGGCATGAGTCAGAGGATAGCATGTCCACACTGGCAGGAAGAAGGGGGATGAGGCCCAAGATGATGATGCCTTTTGATTCTCAACCACCTCAGCGTAAGTCAACAGCCCACCTACCAGCTGGCTTGAAACTGGGAGCACCCAAACAAGCCGTGTTGGTTCTGTACGCACAGGCGCACGCTCGCTCACCCGCGTGCTGCCTTCCTACCTACTTCTCCTAAGGAACTGTGTCGTATCTGCAGTGGGAGCAGGTCAGAGAAGGCATCCTGAATCCCTTATCGTGAAGGTAGAGTTGAATCAAGTTCAAAGGGAAAACTGAATAGCTGTGTTGGAGCGAGCAGGAGGCGTGCTGGGGAAACGGAGAAGAGTTAGGAATGTGTCCAACAGTCTGTCCCTGTCTCCAGCAGTGGCAACTGCAGGTGCCTTTTAGGGAGACCCTTTGAGCCCAGCTGCTTTTTATAGTCTGTTCCCTTTGTACCCTGCCAGTGTCTGGCTGGTACTTGGGAATTGTTGAGAGCTGGTAAATCTCTGTCAGGTTCTTCTCCACTGTTGGTTTTCTCCTCCCCAGATCAAACAGTCATGGTGTTTTTAGCCTCCTCTCCTGAGGCAGCTACTCCGTCGCCTTTATCACTTTAGTTGCCGTTCTCAGAACCTTCTCTAACTTTACCACCTGCTCCTTGAGATGCAGAGAGGCCAGAGCACACAGTACCTCTGAGGTCTCACGTAGCAAGGAACAACGTCCTCTGCCTTCTTCTCAATACCTTCCTTGCTGAGTGAGATACTACGTTTTATTGGCTTTTTTGGCTGCCACTGCACATTGAGCTCATGATATCAGAGATGTGGCAACTCTGTCTCCAAGAACTCTTTGCAGAGCTGTAACTGCCAGCTCTGAGCATGGCATCATGTAAGTACTGTTGGATGATTTGTCCCTCGACGTATTACTACTGTAAGAGCTTACTTTGCTGTGCTAAAGATTACCTGCCATCTTTTTGCCTGCTTGCTCAGTCTCGTGAGGTCCCTCTGGAGCTCCTTGGCAGCACAGTAGCATTTGACTATCCCAAAGGCCTTCATAGAATTTCCAGACTGGAAGATTTCTCTGATGGCTTCCATGTCGGGGTCACTGAGAAAGGTAATTGATTAAAACCAGTCCCAGCACTCATACCTGGGGGATCTCCTGCTGACTCTTCTCTGTCTTGAAAGTTGATCAAGCCCTTCCCTTTGCTTCTTCCTATCTGCAACCAGCTTTCAGTGCATAAAAGAGCTTTCCCTCCAACAGCACCTTAGTTTTTTCACTTTGGAATGGACCTTTGTCAGAGCCTTTTTGAAACTTTAGCTGTATTATTTTCACTGGTTCCTTTTATTGACATATTTACTGGCACTGACTTGAAACTCTGAGGTTAGTGAGGCAGGGTTTTCTTTTCCAGGAGTCCTGCTTCCTCTTTTCTAAATGACCATGTTCACCCGTATCTGCAGTGATTTTACTACTCTTACACCGAAACATTAACGTAGCTGCTGTCCCCTCTCTGCATGGACAGCTATTTGGGAAGCTGTACTTGACCAGCTGTAGTTTACAGTCCACCCTCATGTGGCAAACCAAAATCAATATGGATTTGTGCTAAAATGCAGGCATGGCTCAGGAGCAGCTTCAGAAACATCTCAGCTGCTCATCCAGTTGGAGAGAATTAGAGAGCTGGGGCAACGGATCACCATACGTCTCGGTGCAAGACATCCCTGCTTGTGAGCTACTCCCCTAATTTTCTGAGCAGAAAAATGGCTCCGAAGGAGTAACACTGCTCATCTTTTGGAAGGGTTTGTGAGGCGGCAGGGCAGACTCTCAAACGAGCAGGATGTTTGTTATTTCTTACCCGTGTATTTCCCTATCGCTTAATGATGATTTGAGCCAAAAGTGCTGAACTGAAATGTTGTTGAGGCAGTAGAAAGATGTTTTAATTGTTATTATGAATTATTTTAAGGATGAAACAATACATCTAGTTCTCCAGTGATGCCTCTGCAATGGAGAGGGACTTGTCTGGAGACTGAAACCCTGACTTGATCCAAGTGCAAAGTCCCACAGTTACCATGCAGTGACAGAACTGTAAGGCAGAACCCACAGTGCTCGTGTGGCCTGAGCTTTGTTTCGCCTTCCCTGAGCACTGTGTTCACCGTCAGCCCCGTAGCCAGGTGGTGTGTTTTATGGGATGATTTCAGGCCAGTCCGTTACGTTTCAACTTTCTGATTTTTTGCTTTATTTACCTGAAATGAGTGTTTGATTTTCTTGGCCTCTACGTGCTTTTTCAAGTGTCCCAATGACCTGATTAGCCCAGTTTGTGGATTTTCACCTGTTTCCTTGTTTTACAACCTTTTTACAAGAGTAGTGGCTTTTTTGTTGGGTTTTAAAATAAGTAGTCTGCCGCTCCTTGTTTTCCTCCCAGTTTCACGTGTATGAGGAAGGAGTGGAGGATGCAGTTTTACACTAATAATCTCTACTCTGATGAGTTTCTTAAAAGTTTGTCTGCTGTCAAATAGGGGTGTCTAAGCAGCGACATCGCAGCTATTGGATTCTGATGATTTCCCATCCCGTGCCAGGTGCTAGAACATGGTGACTTCAGACTCGTGTGACCCTTTAGCAAATTCAGACTGCAGCAAGTCTCACCTTGCACTCTTCTGAGTGCTTTTTCCCCAAATGAGATGCAGCATTGGATGCACATAGCATAAGACAAACTCATTCAGGAGCCCACGCTGAGTGCTTCACGGAAATAGTGTAGCAAAGTACCCCTCATACTATGTTAATCCAGTGAGAAGGATACTCAGCAACTTCTATCATCAGTCACACATAGGATGAAAAGATTTACAGCTGGCACAATGATAGATAACAGTGGTGGTACATATTTTAGGGAGGTGGTATATTCCAGTTCTACCTTTTGATGGTATTCAAGCTGATGTGATTATGCTGGCAGATACAGTTGTGGTTTTCCCTTGCAGCACGAAACCCAGCTTTGACATCCCTTTTTGATACCAGTCCTGCTGTGTTCACTTGAAAAACCTCTCTGTTTTCCCCCTCTTTATTAGATATTGCCTTGCCCAGAAAGAATGAGCCAGACACAGGCACAGCTGGCTCGGTGTGACAGGTTAGCATGATGCACTAAATGTCAGGAAGGATATGTTAGGGCTTTTGCTGCCTTCGGGCTCGAAATTGTTTTTGTGACTTTGTTTGACTTTTTATCCTGTTTGCAAAAGCTCTCAGGGCTTCCACATGTACATTTCTATTTTATAGTAAGTGGAAACATTAATGTAATGTCTTTAGGTACCTTTTTGCAGAAGCCACACAGAAAACTGACACAGGTACCTGAGGCCCTTTCTCAGCCAGCAACACAGAAGGCAGGAGCATTTAGTGGGTTTAAGTCTGTGCCTGCAGATACCTTCCTATTGTGGGGGTTTTTCCCCCACTGTAGCATTCAAATCTAGTTACTTACCTTTTAAATACTAGATTGTCCTAATTTACTACGTTCAATTTTAGTACAATTAACAGTTATGCAACAGGAATGGTGTCTGCCTACTTAGTTCCTCCTTTGACAACTGGAAAACCAAAATTCTGGAAGGATATTAGGAAGCAAAGGGCTATTTCTTTCTTAAACCACCACACTTATCTTTATCTGGTTCTTCACGTGAACTTTTCTCTTCCTTGCAATTAAACAGTGCATCATGATCTTCATTAAGAGCTGGTGATACAATGCACTGCTTTTTGACCTGTAAAGCTGTGTGTGATTTAGGTCCGATAATCCAGCAAATTATTTGCAAAGTTTCCAGAGTTTTAAGCTGGATGGCTCAGTGGTGGGTAAACTTTCTGGGGGACACGGCTTTTCACTGGACTAGGTTTTCCCCATTTGCTCACTGGATTTGTAGATGCCTCATCCCTGGAAGTGTTCAAGGCCACGTTGGATGAGGCTTTGGGCAACCTGGTGTAGTGGAGGGTGTCCCTGCCCACGGCAGGGGGGTTGGAACTGGATGGTCTTTGAGGTCCCTTCCAACCCAAACCATTCTATGATTCTGCTTTGGATGCCAGAGCTACTACGATCTGGTGGTGTTCTCCTCACCCTGAAGATTTTGGGAAGTGTGTTGAAGGCTGTAGGGTATGTGCAAGGTTCTTTTTATCGTGGCTGCAGAAACACATAGGCAGTCTCTCGTCCTAACGTGTGTTCACTGGAGAACGATTGAAGCGCTTGCTGAAACACAGGTGTAGAGCAGTGGTTTCTACAAATAGAAGTAATTAAAATGTTTACGCCTGTGCAATTTTATGCCTTAAAATCTTTACACCTCCTACCTCGCTGCTACATAAGAGAACTCCTGGTGTCTCTGCTGACTGTTGCCTCTGCCCAGAGTTCCGCTCGCCAAGCTTTTGTAGGTTATTCCTCTGTTTGCCAGTTCCCTGCAAGACAAAGTGGCATTTTAATCCTGCTTGAAGCTGTCAGTGAGTGTATCTGACTTCTCACATCCCCTTGCCAGCTGTCTCACGGGGCTTAAATCTAGAACCTACTGATTACTCAGTGTTAGAGTTTAGCTGCTCTCCATTTACAGGAGGCTGACAATGACGTTACGTTTCTGTTGGCGTAACTCACTGGGAGAGAGAAATTGTTTATTACCAGTAGGGAAAAAACCTAAGTATATTGCCTCCACTGATCAGTTCACATCTCACATCCTGCTGACAGGCTGTTTTCCAGGAAATGAGGAAGTTGGAGGGTTCACATTTATTTAGTCAGCCTCCGAGTTCAAACCGCATATATCAATGCAAGAAGTCTAAGCGGAACTCACCATTATAACCATGGATTTCTGCATCACCTCATTCCTAGAAAGTAACTTTCAAAGGCAGCACATCTGGAGAATTTCCAGAAAAGGTTCAAAAGAAAATCACCCACCACAACCTTTTTTTTTTCCTTTATGGTGCTAGTGATAGCATACCCCTCCTGTTTTCTGTGTTGAGACACTTTTCTTTGCATGACCTTTGCATGTTCAGTATTTTAGTCTGTCATAAGAACTAAATTCTGCACCAAATTTTCCTCCCAGCTCGGGAGCAGCGAGAGTTTGTTTTGCTGTTACCACAAAAGGGTGAGGGCAAAGGACGATTTACGTTAAGTATAAACTTCATGTCTCTCAAGCAGGGAAAAGAAAACAGCAAGATAAAAAAAAAGAGAGGAAAAAAAGAATAAGAGGCTCTTGGTTTGAGTGTAGGTGGAGCAGAGCTTTACTAAGCCTGCACGGAGGGAGTGAATGGAGCCTTTGGGGTCTTGCCCTTATAATTTGTCTTGCATTATTTAATTAACCAAAGATGCAACGTTTGGTTACAGTGTTAAGAAATTCAATGACAGCCAGAAATTATTTTGGAATTTGAGCTCATATGTCTTCTGTATTAGGTCTGACATTTATAGCACAGCGTGAAACACATCTAAGTTCTAAAGGGAGCTGAACTTTATTTTTCTCAAGCGTAACAGAAGGCTCTTCAAAGGTACAGCCAAGAGAGATGTACTTTCTGCACACAAAGAGCTCTGCCTCTTTTGGGGATTTTGTGTCTCGGCATGGAGGGAGTTAAAGTGCTGGAGCAGAGTTGGAAAATTGGTATCGAAACATGTCATCGTGGTGTCGTCGTAGATCTGCGGAGCGGTGGGCTCCCCCGTCGGTGGCTGTGTGGGAGAGGGAGGGCCGCGGTGCGTTTCAGTACACGCGCATGCTGTCTGTATGTTAAGCGTTTTTCTGTCTTGTGTTCATCCACAGCTGTGATTAGTGCTCATCCCATCCATTCACTCGATAACCCTCACCATCATTTCCACTCCGGCAGCCTCGCTTCTCCAACTCGCAGCTATCTCCATCACCAGGTCAGCCCGTGGCCCATTGGCACATCCATGTCCCATTCAGACAGGGCCAATTCCACAGGTGAGCTATAAACGATCAGATAGATGTTGCTTGTGATGGGACAATGAGTGAAACGTGTGGCAATCAAAGCCTGAAACGTAACTTGGTCAGCCTCCGTTGCGGTGTTCCACGAGAGGCAGAGCGATGGGTTTAAGTACGGCCAAAATCCTTGATAGGTTGAGGTTTCTGTAAACAGTTTCTTGGGTAGATCAGATATCGATCCTTGAGATGCAGGATGATGTCCTTGGAAAAAGAGGCTTAATATATAGCCTTCAAATAGGAAGATTCCTTATCCCAAAGCCTTCGGCCCTGGAGTCTGAAACATCAGATTAAATCTAATTTCAGCTACTTCATATGATAATAACTATCCTAATTAGTTGTGTTTAAAACTGAGAGAGGACAGAAGTTCAGGCTTTGCTACTGAGACCTGACGTTAGTTAACCTTCCTGGAGCCCACAGAAAATTCCCGTGTTTCCTATGCAGCATTTTCAGGCTTGAAGCACAATCATTTGTAATAGTTTTTGTAATGTCTCCAGTGCTATGAAAAATTCTGAAGCAGCAGTATTGCCAAATTTTGTGTAGGTAACATCTAGAGATGAAGCGAATTCTGAGCTGCTTTAGTTGAAGGTCTAGGTTTTAATTAAGGTGCCACAGCCAAGAGCTTTGTTCCCTGTTTCCTTATGAAAACAGTTCATGAGGCTGCAAATACACAGGCAGACGATATGTTAGAGGGTTCCCGTGTTCTGTTTATGCTGCTGACGTGACAGCTCTCACAATCCACATCTTTTCCTGCATGTGGTCCGAGTGGGATCACGATGCCCTAAATTCAAGATACCCTCTCATTGTTCTCCCAGATCAGGGTGGAGCCCACTGCAGACAAACAAACGAAGGCTGTGATTTCATTTTAGCTTTCAGCAAGTAAAGAGATTTCAAGACTACCTCAGAAAAAAAAAAAAATGGCTCTTCTGTATTGCTCTGCAGTGATGTATACTTAATGTATACCTGTTTAAGAGTGCCACTGCTGTGAAATACTCAAGGGTAAAATGAGGACGAGATTTGTGTTCCATGCTGTTTGTCTGAGGTCAGAGCTGTTTCCATCCAAAATTGTTGACTCAATATTATGTCTGTGGAGTCATTCAGCTCTCCAGCTTATTTTGGTGTTAGCCAGCTGTTGCTGCTCACCTTAGAAGAGGACAGTCACACAGAATTGGTGGTATTTGCTACGCAGATCTGTGTATTTGCAGAATCTGTGAATTCACTTCTGAGCTTCTAGCAGCGATCTCGGCAAAGGTGCCGTGTCTCCGCCTGACCACAGAGAAAAGTTCTCTCAAAGAAAATAAACCACGGGGGTGTTTTTGTCTGTTGTAGAATCCGTTCGAAACACACCTAGCACAGACACCATGCCGGCTTCCTCCTCCCAGACGTGTGCTGACCACCAGGATCCCGAAAGCACCGCAGGGTCTTACCTGGCTAATGCACAAGAGGAGGACTCGGCTCAGAACCTCCCCACGGCACACGTCCGTCCGTCCCACCCGCTGAAGAGTTTTGCGGTGCCGGCGGTTCCCCCGGCTGGTTCCACGTATGACCCGGCGTTGCCGAGCACACCGTTACTGACCCAGCAAGGTGAGCGGGGGAACTGGCAAGGCACGCTTGCCAGAGAGAGGAAAAGGAGATTTTAAGAAGAAAATGAGAGAAGCTCCTGGAGTGAGGGGAGGGTAGAGGTGTGGGCATCAAGGGAAATATGTCAGAGGTGGGACTGAATTGTGCTGGTATAATTTTCAGGCCCTTTATGTTTCGTTCATAGCTAAAGTAGACCAAAATTGAATTGGGCACTCCGTAATTGGAAGCATTCGTTTTCCTCTAATAGAACCCTTTTTATTCATAGAATCATAGAATGGTTAGGGCTGGAAGGGATCTTCAAAGGTCATCTAGTCCAACCCCCCTGCAAGGAACAGGGATATCTCCAACTAGATCAGGTTGCTCAGGGCCTCGTCCAACCTGGCCTTGAACGTCTCCAGGGATGGAGCATCCACCACCTCTCTGGGCAACCTGTTCCAGTGTTCTACAACTCTCATGGTAAAAAATTTTTTCCTAATATCCAACCTGAATCTACCTCCCTCTATTTTAAAACCATTACCCCTTGTCCTATCACAACAGGCCCTCCCGAACAGCCTCTATTCTCCTACTTCCAAGAGTTTTCTGAATAGGCAAAAGAACTAATTAACTGAGGCGTAACTATATAACAATTTCTTTTAAGCTCCTAACCATCCAGTTCACTCGGTGAAGACTGCGTCGATTGGGACTTTGGGAAGAACTCGACCTCCCATGCCAGTGGTAGTTCCCAGTGCCCCTGACGTGCAGGAGACCGCCAGGATGCTCGAGGACTCGGAAAGCGTAGGTACTCTTACACTGCCAGGGGCTTTCTTTGGCAGTGCTTCTCAGGCTGGGGGGAATCTCTCTTTACATGATACTTGTGAACTTTAGTCATGTCTGCACTGAGACTTTCAAAGGCTTCTGACTTACTTCCACCAAGTGCCCTTGCCTGTTAACCCATATAAAAAAAAAATCTGATGCAAATACCTTCTGCACAAGGCAGCAAATTCAGAGAATTAGCACTTAAATTGCAAGTAGTGCAATTCTAAATCCGAAAATTGCCTGTGAGTACCTTCATTCCTACTCACACAGCACTGAACAGATGCGGTGCTTCCATCTACTTGGTCAAAACTGATGAACCTTTGGCAACGTCGTGGCTGAGCTGAGGCTGTCAGCTGGACTCAGAGGAACGTTCTCTGGGATTTCCTTCCTTGACTCACGCTCAGTGCCTCTGGTTCTGCTCTCCAAGGGGAGAAGAAGAGCAGATACCGTCTATAGCACCAGTCTTTGCACTCTTTACAGTACGTAGTGCCTAACAGAGCTTCAGTTTCTGACTTGGGCTTCCGTCCTGGAGCTGCAGAAGTGCCCTGCACATCTGGTTTTTCGCCTGCTGAGCTTGGTGTAAAGAGCATCTTTGTTCACAGAGCTGAAGGCCTCCAACGCTGCTGTTGGCTCTTCTGTACAGCTTAAGATGTTGTGTTCGTGCTTGTTTGGAGATGTCGTTTGTTTCTGTCTGTTTTGCAAGCGTCCTGTGCCTGGATCCTATTAAAGCCATGCAGCTGCAGCTTCCCGTGCTGCTGCAGAGCATCCAAAGTGTCATTGCAAATGGAAAATTTAGCCTTAACGCCAAAACGTTTAAAGCCATCATCCCAAATCCGTACTTAGATACTCACTTCATAGAATCATAGAATGGTTAGGGCTGGAAGGGACCTTCAAAGGTCATCTAGTCCAACCCCCCTGCAAGGAACAGGGATATCTCCAACTAGATCAGGTTGCTCAGGGCCAACACATGAAAGTGTTCTGACTTTCGGGGAAAAACGCAACCAACTGTTGGGCTTCTTTGGAAAGAGCTTTTAAGAAGTGAGGATGTTCTGGGTGTCAGGCACTAGAAGAGCTGGTTTCCTTTCAAATTGCAAGCCAAGAAGTTATTGTGTTAGCTATTGCATTACCACTACAGGAAATGCTTATCTTGAATGAATTTTTCTTTCCTTTCCTTGTTTCCATATTGTCCTTTCCTTTTGTCAGGTTGTTTTTGTCACCCTCTTGGTGTTATTTCTCCATGCCCTGGTCTAGAAACGCATGCAAGCTTGATTTGGTGCACTTTTGCCCGTCTGCCTAGTTGTCACTCCTACTTTATTCTGTTTTCTGGTTAGTACCAAAAATATACTCATTAGTTTATTCATCAACAAATTTATAATATTTAAATAGACCTGTTAATAAATGTCTTCATTAATAAATTAGTGCGATATGAAGTCACCACAGCACACTAAATACTGGTTAAATGATGAGTATTAAAAATTAGGATGAGGTAGTGATTGGAATTGATTCTGCTTTTTATGAGAGCCTGTAGGAATGAGCCCGAGTGCTTTCAGCTCACTGCTCTTTGTCACTGCCAATAGACAGCAGAAGATGCACTAGACACAGGACAGAGACGACTTTTCTGGTGCAATCTAGATCACTTGGTAAACGGGGAAGTGGCTGCTCCATTCTTTCCTATTTAAATGAAAGAAGAGGTTTGTATCTAGAAGCAAAGATCACAGGTCAAGGCTGAAGGCTCTGCTCTGGGAAGGACTTCAGTTTCATGGTACACAATCAGCTGAGCAGTAGCTTTAATATTAGCTTCTGATAAAGGACCATAATATAGAGCAGAAACTATCAAAAAGGGGTTCTGTTGCTTCTGATCAGGCGTTAGCAGAGCTGGTACTGGAATACCACATACAGCCTGGCTCACATTCTGCATGAACAATGTGAAGAGAATGAAGAGCGTTTGGAGAAATACTCCAAGGACACAAGGGGTTGAAAACTACAGAGCAGTGGGAAAGACTTGGTCAGCTCACAAGAGGTTTTGGGATGAACCAGTTTCTGGTATCTATGTACATACCTGAGCAGCTATCATAACTCTGTTATCACTGCAATATCGATGAAGCTGGGCAATTTGGGCTAAAAATGGAGTACTTTTTTTTAGCAAGCATAACGATTCTCCAGTCAGTTTTATTGAAGTGATTCCTTTGACCTTTTATTCCAATTAAGCTGGGAAGATTTTTCTAAAATATCTACTTTGGTTCAAAGGAAGCTGTTATCTTGAAGCAGGAATTGATACAAGGAAAACAGATAAGATGTTCACAGTCTTAAAAATGAGTGAAGCTATGAATCACTATTGCGAAAAGATGGGCACTTAAAATAGCGAGTTGTTTCGAGTTATTAATTCCTGTAACTGTGGATAAATCTGCCTCTGCTTATTCATGTGTCAGGGTCACGGTCTACAGCATCTTCTTTTTTCTGATTCTGTCCCTCTTTAAAGCACCCGAGTCTCCTTGTCAGTAACTTTTTGCATCTCCCACAGAGCTACGAACCGGATGAGCTGACCAAAGAGATGGCCCACCTGGAAGGACTTATGAAGGACCTTAATGCCATCACTACAGCATGACCACCTTCACCAGGACATGACTCCAAACAGTTTCACAAGTCTTGGGACTCAGCCTTGGAACACAAGGAATTGTACAGAGGGGGGGGGGAAGAAAAAAGAGAAAAAAAACAGGAAGAGGGACAGCACACGAGAGCATACACAGAAAGCAAACGAACCAACCAGTGCGTTTGTGCTACAGCTGGTCAAAGAGAGATGACCTCTCTGGTCATCGTCCTGCAACGAAGTCATTGCCAAGTCGAATTCCGTTTACCGGCTGAGACCACGCAGGATGGGACGCATCAGGCTGAAATCCAGCATCCAGACAAAAGGAAAAAAAAAAAGTGGACTTCACGTTTGGTTTTTTTCTGGTCAGGTTTTGTCTCAGTGGTGTGATTGCCCTGCCTTTTCAGTGTTGGACATTCGCATTTATGTACAATTTTATTTGTGTTTTTATTTTATCTTTTTTTATAAAAAGGAAAAAATATTGTAATCAAAAAAAAAAAAAAGGAGAAACTGTTGTTTTCCACAGCCTAGACTGACGTTTGACTGCTTGTTCTATTGTGTATGAAAATTCTTTGCCAGTGTGGGTTGTTCTGTTTTGTTTTTATTCTGCGTATAATTACGTCCCCTTCTGGCAGTTAATCCATGGCCTTTTGGGATGCTGCACTGCTATTTGTAAGCTTTTTTTATTATTTTTATATTATAATTATTAAAAGCCTGACTTTCTCCTCTCATCACTGTGAGATTACCAGTCTGTTTGAATTGAGATGTAATTTGAAAGGCTTGTTTGTCGCTTTTTGTGCAGTTTCAATATTTTGAGTGGGGAAAAGTAGGTGGGGAAGGGGAGGGGATCCAGTGGGAGGTTTCATTATTGTTGTTTTCCTGTCTTTCTCCATTGACTCGAAAGACTGAAGAAAAATCAGAGCATCTTCTGTAACGCCCTTCCTTGTAACTTCAGCATACTGTGTCTCTGGTTACCGAATTGCAGTGAGAGTCTCATTTAGAAACATTAAAAGAAAAAAAATTCCACCTGGTAAAGTAGGGTTCCTTATGTTTAGATGACACTACAGCTTATTTTGGCCACAGTGCTCTGTTTTGTTGTTGTTAGTTTAAAGATGGCATCATGAAACTTCAAAGTGCAGATTGAGCCCTCGTTCAGCTTATCGCAGGCAGCAGCGCACGACGCTTCTCTGCTGGTGGGGCTCAGGTTGGAGCTACCTGGAGCTCCCAGAAGCAGAGAACTGTGGACCTCTTCTCATCAGCAACACGACATGCCATATCATACTTAGGAGAACACTACTTGTCCACAGGATCCTTCAGCAGCAAGTCCAGCCCCAGTGCACTTTCTCTATCCCAGGCCGTTTAGACAAGAGTCCTTCTCTTAAGGACTCTTCAGAGACATAAGTGAGGCAAAAACCTATTTTTTTACACTTTGGAAACCGTTTGAAAAGTGAAACAGTATTAGTGACTCAGGTGCTGTTCGTTGTCTAGAGAGGAAGGAAAGTTAAAAGGGAACTCCTATAAGAGGGGAAGGAGAAGGGATTTTTGCTTTTCTCCGTGTATGATTTCCTGGCTCTGCCGTACTCCGTGAGGAGGAAGGGCACAAACAGACTGTATTTTAGTTTAAAAAAAAAAAAAAAAGGAAAAAAATCCATACCTAACTGCCTAACGAACTCATGCCCAATTTCACTTCTAAGATGAAAGGAAGTCAAACCTTACTGCTGATGCCGATGGAGAATCCGTTCCTCCAGAGCAGGCGGATTTGCGCTCTCGGAAGCTCAGCGGTCGGGATGCAGGGAGCGAGGGTGATGGGCATTTTGGGTGCAGGGCACTGCTGTGAGATGGCTGCACCTGTTGGAACACGGAGAGGAAATACTGTAATCTGCTTAAATTTAAAAAAAAAAAAACCACCAGAACTTTGCTTCATTTGCCTTCATCCACGTGAGCAAAGCTAAAGCTCTGGGCCCGTTGTCATAGTCCTTGTCACTAGGAGAAGGGTGAGCCAAGGAATCATCCTGGGGAGCAGCAGGGGTTTGGGCTGTAGTTGTACTTCCTTTCTTTTCCTGGACTCTTGGTGTTGTCATTTCTAGGACATTGGTTGGGTTTATTTATTGTTTGAGGATGAGGAGGGAATCAAACGAATCGGAGCACCGTGGGCCACCTGGATAATTGATGTTTGGACTTTGAATCCATACAATTCAGGGCAAAATAAGCTACAGAATAAGTATTTAAATAATAAAATACACACCCTGTCCTGAAAGGAGGGGGTGTATGTTTTTCCTTTGCCTATTTTTTACCTATACCCAAAGAAATACCGTCGTACATACACAGTATTCTTAGCTGGTGGGTCTTTGTGAATATTACTTACGTATAACACCATGAATGTTAATATTGTCATTGAATTTGGGGAGGGGGAATATTTTTAATGATAAAACAACTGTTCAAAGTTGGTTTTTTAAGGTTAAACTAAAAAAAAAAAAAGACAAAACATTTATTCAATTCAGTGTACAATCTGTATTGCACTTTTTCACATTTTAATGCTACGTTTTCTTACATATCCTGTGATTTTAAATTTGGAACATTGTGTATCCTTGTAGTGTCATCGTCAGGCTGTTCAGTGACAGCTTCCCTCAGAGACATTTGGGGAAAAAAACCAAACCTGTATATTGTTTTATGATTCTCATGTAGAATAATTTTGAGGACTGCTGTAGACGTCTACCTTTCTGTACAATTTTTTTTTGCTTTTCTGTAGTATTTGCTGTATACTCTATGGCTTTTTTTAATAACTTCATGTTTATTATTTTGTATTGGACATCCAATACACTTTTTTTAATCCAATCAAATTCTGGTCTGCTTGGAGAGTTTGTTCTCTTTTTAATTATGCCTATACTTTTTTTTTTTTTTTCCTTAATCAGTATGGTGACCAGGTTTGGAATTTTACT